GCATACCTCACCATATTTTCAAAATAGTCAAACTGTAAACTTAAGTATTCCAAATATTTTCATTCCTGAAGCACTTGTTATGCTTCTAATAATATCTATTTCTTTGAGTATTCAAGAATTGATGTTAAATATGTTAGACATTTTCCCCTATCACTATGCTTAGCAAGTTCTGTGATCATAGTTACCTATTATGTATTATACACTTGAAAGTTGTTAGAGTAGATATTAAATGTTCTCACCACAAAAAAGAGGTGGTAATTATGTGATGTGATGAAGGTGTTAGCTAACACTGTGGTGATAATCATTTTGCAATATATGAGTATCAAGTTAACACATTTTACATCTTAAAGTTACACAGTGTGATATTTTAATTATACCTCTATAAAGGTGGAAAATATAATTGTTTTTCTAAAAAAATCATCTCCTTAAATATTAAAATCTCTCTATAGTTTGGACTTGAGATATAGTTATATTGCTTAGATATTAGGTTGAGGAAGCCTAAGTAATTGATAAAAAAATAATTATGGAGTGTTTGTAGCTTACAGAAATGAGTGGTTAGTAGGTATTCAGCTGCTGAGTTGAAGTTTAAGCAACTTGAAGGTATAGCTCTTGCTTTGGTATTTTAGCATATTAGTGGAGACTGATGTCCTTGCTGGGTGACAAGTATGATCTCTGGACTTAAAAAGACTCTGATTTCCAGTGTTTATTAATAGATTGTCCCTTAGAAGATCCTGTACCCTAGTTAGCACTATATCTTTGGTGCTGTAAGTCTCTCTATTCACTTAGTTCTCAAGTAAGTCAAAATCTGCCTTTCCAAGTATAGAGGCCAGATACGTTATAAGTAATTTTAGCCTTCCAATAATGTTATAGATTCAGTTAAAAAGTTAGTATTTCTGTTTATTTACTTTGCCATCACACCCCTCAACTGTTATACTCAGTCTTCTACCCTCACTCCTCCACTAAAATGGCTCTGTCAAAAGTCTCCAAAGTTCTGACAAATCCAATTTACAGTTTTTGTCCTTATTTTGATCTGGCTGTGGCATTTGATAACTGTTGACTGCCCTTTGTAACTCCTTTCTGTTGACTGCAGTAGTACGTTAATTTATTCAATATCCAGCCAATATTTATTGAACATCTACTAATTGTCATGCAGAATGCTAAGCATTAATGATATAACAATGAGCAAGACATGCATTTTTCACCCCATGCAGATGCTTTACTCAAGATGTTGTATTAGACAGACTTCACTTTGAAATATGTCTCTGCTACCTATAATTGTGTGAACGTAGGCAAATTTCTTAACATTTCTCACCTGTGAAATGAGGACAATTAAACATATCTACTTGATAGGAGTTTTTTAACTGTTTAATAAAGTAATTGTGAAAAATTGGGAACATTTCTTGGTACTCGCTTTTCCATTCTTACTGGGACTGCCTAGATCAGTCTATAAAGACATTGCAGCATTTCTCAGGCTGCTGTCTTTGACTCTGGTCATGGCAGCCTCAAGTCTGTCTTCTACATTCTGACTAATTAACAACTCATCTCCCCACCCCTGCACCCCAATTGTTATCTGCTTGCCTTGACCTGACCATGCTGGGATTATTTATTTTTAATTTAGTATACATTTTCTCTTAATTTCAGCTTTTATCAAATTTCATGCTGGGCTCTTGCACCTTCCTGGTTCATCCAAATTCCATAACTGTGCATCTGCTAGTGTGCTTTTTCTATCCCTCTTTGCCTTTTAAACAACTCCTTTTTTTTTCAAGTTTCTCTTCAAACATATTTCCCTGAGGAAAGAGGTAGACATTCTTTTTTCCATACCTCCTGTACGACTCTGACACTGTTTTAGCCCAATCACACTTTAATTTAATTATCTGTAGAGGTCTGTGTGAGAAAAGAATGTGCTTAGCTGTCTTGATATCCTTAAATGTGGCACAACTGTAGCTTTAAAAACTTGATTATAGTTAGCCAACAAATAATGTTTGTTTAGTTTCTGTGAATGAAGTCTTAGTGTCCTAGGTACGCAGACATAAATGGGATAAGGTCCTTGTCCTCAAGAAGTAAGTGCATGGCATGAAGTCAGATGGATAGCAGGTGAGGGACACAAGATTCGTGTCATGAATGACCAGACTGTTTCATTAACAGTTGAAGGACATTAGCATTTAGGCTATTAATTTTTTTAGATGTAAATTAACAATAACTTAAAATTCTGACTTCTAACATACTTGTTAATGAAAGTTTGTTTCTTGAGGAAATGTATTATTATAGACCTAAATGTCAAGCTGTCATGGTGTCTTATGATAGAGAGGATGAGCATTGTCTACATGTTTCAAGTGATTTACTGTAAGTAGGGAGTTGCATTAGTCATAGGTAGAACCTTGGAGTGAGAACTGCACCAGATTGTCTGAGCTGAAGTACTTTATCTGTGTTTTCTACATTCTGAGATAAAGTCTAAATGGAAGTCTTGGCTCTTGATTCATCGCATATTTGCAAAAGTTGAAGTGGTCTTTCCCTAGTTTTAATTTTTCAAACTCTTAAGAACTCTTTTTTTTCTGATTTTGTATAGTTTAACAATTGTGAGAATGAAAAAAAATTGTATTAAGTAATTGAATATTATGGTTTATATAGAATTACCATGTATAGCATTTGAGTGTAATATTCAAAATAATTTAGTTCTTCATTATTGGTACAAGTCACCTTTGCATCCTAGTAGGCCTTATTGTCATTACTTGAGAGCTAACAATTCCCATACCTTAAAGTACAGAAGTGGTTTTCAAAGCAGCAAAGATTTCTGTTTCATAGAGGGTGGCTACTCACTCACACAGTAGTTTTTATTGCCTCTAGTGGATTTACTTGTTAGTTTTTGGAAGATTCTTTGCAATTTTGACATTGGAAATAGAACATAAGCATATAAGCTTACTGTATTTTATTTATACTTGTATTCTTTACTCAGCAACAGTGAGGACATTTTTAATGCTATGAAAAATGCAAGTTTGAAGAAATTCTATTTTTCTCTTCTGGGCATAAAGACCCTAAGTCCTTTTAGGATACAGCTCTTCAAAGTATGGAAGTAGTCCATGGAGTATTTTCAGTGACACATGGGATTTTATAAGTCAGCAAATGGAGTCAGATTATAAGAAACTTTATTCTGAATTTAGTTTTTAATTAGAATTTTTTAATTAAAAGTTTTAATAGTGACAAAGAACATCGTCTTTGAAGGGACATAAATTTAATTTGTATGTATTAGAAATTTTTAGTTATAGTGAAGGTGATGTAAGGATTTGACATAGGGAGAAGTTTTACTGAAGGAATTTTTACAGATAGTAATCAAATCAGAAGAGTGTGGTTTTATAAGCCAAGAGAGAAGGGAGATTTAGAAGGAAGAGATGATAAGTAGAATCAAATGAAAAGATAAACAACAAACAAGGTTAACTAAGATAAGGACAAAACAGTATGTACTAGTTTAATTAGTTATAAAAGCAGTTTCAGTGGAGCAGTTGGAGCAGGAGCCAAATTGCAATGAGTATCATCTATCTTGTTTTCTCCCACACTAGTGAACTGGGCAGATGAATGCTATTGTTATCAGTTCTGGCTGGTATTACTGTTAGTGGATGCAGCATATGTTGAAGGACAATCTTGTAACGTGACCATGTGTGTGGTGACTGATGTTTTCATCTTAACAGGTGACTTTCTCAGCTTGCTTTGAGTATCAGATCTGTGAAACTAAAGTTAATGTGAAATGCTTCTTAATAAAGGGACTCTTTTTCCCTTAGATTTTTACTTTTTTCATTTCACATTGATTTTAAGAACGTCTTTGTCAATCTGGCCTTTTAACTTGGCTATCACCGTGTTTAGACTCTATAGTAAGGTATCAAAGAATGTTTGATGTTTTTTCACTCTATTTTATTATAATTATATTACTATAAGGCAGAATTCTTTTTTGCCACAGCATCTAGGAGTAACTATGAACTTAGAAATTTAACCAAAACCTTTAACTCTATCTGGTCAGATTACTAGTCCACTCGTGGGTAATTTTACTTTTTTAAGTGAAAGAATGCAAGGCATGCCAGGTTTTGCCATTTTTAATTCCTTGTTTTGTCTCTCACTGACGGGTCTAGCTGACCTACAGGACTTCTCCTGGGATTCCTGACTTTAGTCCTTCTTTTTATCCCAGGGGAAGACGACCTGATACCTTTCATCACTCGTGTACCATAGATTCCCTTTCTGGTTGATATTTTCCACTTAACAAGTGGATTTTAATAAGTAAGATGGTAATATTGGATGGACATACTATAGAGACCTTATAGCTGCCTCTATAAAAATCTTTTAACAATGAGTGAAATCATTAAGGAAAAGATATTATTTGTGCTAATTACAGCAAATGAAGTAGGGCAATGAAAAGAAAGGTTAGATTAGCAGCATTTAAAAAGTTGTTGCTTCAGAGATTGGGAGAGAGAAAAGTAAACAGATGAAATGTAGAGGGTTTTTAGGGCATTGAAGCTACTCAGGATGGTGGAAATACATCTTTATACACTTGTCAAAACCCAAGGAGTACAACACCAAGAGTACATCCTAATGTAAACTGTGGACTTTGGGTGATAATGTTGTATGAGTGTAGGTTCATCAGTTGCAACAAATGTACTGCTGTAGTGCACTGTGTTGATTGTGGGGTGTGGGGCTTGTGTGTGGAATGGGCCTGGGGTATATAGAAAATGTTTTTACATTCTTTCTGCTCAATTTTGCTGTGAATCTAAAATTGCTCTAAAAATAAAGTCTGTTTAAAAACAAACAAATGAGTTTATACTCATTAACATCTTAGAACCATTCAGAAGATGAAATTTACTTTCTCTGATTCAAAATGAATGAATTAACCTATTTGGGAAATTTATGGACCTCTCATGTTTCACTCACTAGCTACCTCATTTGATAAGTATTTAAAAGCTTTAAGTTCAATTATTTATATGTTTCTTCACTAATATTTGCTTCCTATTTGCCTCTAGGTTTGAAGTTTGAGGAAATTCAAGAAAGATTTGGTGAGGAGTTCTTTAATATATGTTTTGATGAGAATGAGAGAGTCCTTCGAGCTGTAGGTGGCACATTGCAGGACTTTTTTAATGGCTTTGATGCTTTGTTGGAACACATTAGAACTTCTTTTGGAAAACAGGCCACTCTGGAGTCACCATCATTCCTATGCAAAGAGCTTCCAGAAGGTACTCTTATGCTCCACTACTTCCACCCTCACCACATTGTGGGCTTTGCGATGCTGGGGATGATTAAGGCTGCAGGAAAGAAGATCTATCGGCTGGATGTGGAAGTGGAACAGGTTGCAAATGAGAAATTGTGCTCTGATGGCTCAAACCCAGGCAACTGTAGCTGTCTTACTTTCCTTATCAAAGAATGTGACAATACTCATATCACAAAGAACCTTCCGCAGGGAACCTCCCAAGTTCCCGAGGACCTCCGAATTAGCATCAACACCTTCTGCAGAGCTTTCCCTTTCCACTTGATGTTTGACCCCCACATGTTAGTCCTTCAGCTGGGGGAAGGCCTGAGGAAGCAGCTCCGATGTGACACTCACAAAGTGCTCAAGTTTGAGGACTGCTTTGAGATTGTTTCTCCAAAGGTGAATGCCACCTTTGAAAGGGTCCTGCTGCGACTGTCTACCCCATTTGTGATTAGGACCAAGCCTGAGGCTTCTGGCACGGAAAATAAAGACAAGGTAAGTGGCCATGAACTTGAGATCGGTGATGAAAACTAGAAGATTGCATGATTATTTCAGTAAATTACATGCTGACCGTACTTATAATTATTTAGGCAAGACAGCTAAAACTGCCATTTAGAAAATTACTGGTCCCTGGATGTATGTAATAAGATTTGGCCCTATTCCCAGCCATTTTGCAGAGTGTTTGCATATTCCATTAATTTATTTCAGAATATGAAAAGAAGACATTTATTAATACTAGCCATAGTAATTACAAAAATGACAGGACTCATTAAAATCTGATACTGTAAACCCATGAATATTTCCAGTGATTGAAGTCAAACTATGAGAGAAATGGGAAGACTGGTTACAACACTGTGGGACGTGCTTGCCTTGTCCTTAAATAAATGTAGGTTAAGAGCTAGCTAGACTTTGAGTATGTTCTGTCCTAAGTTCCATAATCTAGGAACATCTGGTTTGCATTATAGTTTTGTCCTAATATAGAGAATAATGTATTTTCTAAAAAAAAGTTGGAAATGAAGTAACTATCTCAGGAATTCTAATTAAATTTTAGTCTATGTTTCTTTAGAACATGTTTACTCCTTGAGAGAATACAGTGAACACTAGGTATCTTTATTGTGGATTTGTTTGAAACCCTTTTGGGAAAATCTGGGTCATAAATTATGAATAAATGATGGGAAGAACAGAAATACATCTTAACAGTTGCATTTCAACAAACATACTTCCTCAGGCAAATATTTTTTAGAAAAAGTCAACCATAAAATAAATAATAAAATGTAAAGAAAAATCAGCTATGACTTTTAAATTTGGTAATATACTTTTAGTGATCAAAAGGGAAAAGGGATTCTTTCAATGTTTTGTATCAAGATAAATAAAGTTCTCTTAGGCTTGTTCCCAAGCATTTTGGGAGAGCTGTTGGCTCTCAGAAATGCATAGGTTGCTCTGGGCCGAAGGAAGCAAGTGTTGCAGAAGCAACTGAGAACTCGGTGAATGAACAGTCTACACGTATTCTGAATGCTTGTGGTAATAAAGGAAATGAGGAAATAGCCTCCTGAAAGCAGAGTCAAAGACATTTTGGGGGATTTTTTATTCAGCATTAGTTTTATAATTGATTCATTTTAATAATTTTGAAATTCAGCAGAAAAATTATAAACAAATAATTTGAGAAAGATGAAAGGATGCACATTTATTCGTGACTGAATCAGGTGGTTTAGGAATACTCATTCAGTGGTGTTTTCATCACATAAGTTCAGTGATTTGAAAACATCCAAGGGAAATCTTGAAGATTACATTTTGGTACACATCAGGATATATTAGTCTGAATGACCTTCATTATTTCTATTTTATTACACATGATGTTTTAAATAATATTTTTCACATGTGCATATATATATATTTTTTTTTCAATAAATGCTACCCATTTATTGAAAAGGAAATGGACTGAAGGAAAGTTGTTAAATATGTGTCTTTGTCCATATCTGTAGTTGTGTTAAAACTGGGATTATTCTATCTTTGTAACATAGGGAATATTGAAGTCTTAGTTCTGTCTTACAGAAGTACAATTTTTGGCTAGGAGGATTTGCAGCATCTCTGCCCTTTAGAATTGAAGTTAATATTTTTAAAAATGTGCTTGGAGTAGAATATATTATTACCAGTATTAACTGTTTTATATTTTTGGTAGATTTGAGATATATTAATTCAGTTTAAAGTTACTGCTTCAGATCTCCCCACTCCATATTTCATCTGGCTATATATCTATTTAATTTGTGCACCAGTGTAAGAAATAGACCTAATGAAATGATGACTCAAATGTCAAGGCCCCCTGCCAGTTCCAATAATAAGGGACTGTGCTCATTGAGAAGATGCAATTATAATTTAAACATGTCAGTGGCAGTTTAAAAATAAAGCAATAGGCAGGATTTTTAGTTCAGATAAAGATGACAGTCTTGTCATCTTATGTTACATTTCTGTTGGTTTACCTGGGTTTACCAGAATGGGTTTTTGGGAGGGTGCAGTTGGCCCAAATGGAAACTATAGTCAATAAAATTGTGGCATGGAGTGAGTCTTAACTAGATGTACAACACTTTTGAATTATTATGTTGCTAAATTCTAAATTTGTAGTTTCTTAAAACATGGAAAGAAGAAAGAAAATCAGGGTTAAAAATTATGTTTCTATTGATAAATTTGACCTTGATATTCATTATTTTCCCTATAATAGCTGTTCCTGCTAATAACTTTACATTGTCTGATGTTTCTAATTTGGTAAGGAAGTTCTATTTTTAAATAAATTAGCATATTTATTTCTTAGTAGAACAGTGAAGGCTTTCATGATAATTTAACTTTTTGGGCCATTCATTTAATACCTATGAACCACTGCCCCTGCCGTCAAAACAAAAACGAAAGCAAACCAACAAAAACAAGAGCTAATCATGCAGCTGAATGACAGTAAATCAGGAGCAAAATGAACTGTAATCTTTTTGCTAAACCATGATCTTTGTTTTGTGTTGTCAGTCAGTGGGTGAGTACATGGCTAGAGGTGGATCATGCTTGTGAACAATTTGATGAGCTACTTATGAAATAGGAAACCATCATCCTTGTTTTAAAGAGTTATAAAGACATAAGAGTTGGTTACCAAGCAGCAAGAACACCACTGACAGGCATCTCATACAGTAATCATGGCCAGAATTTAATTCAACAGAATTTTGAGGTCAGAAGGAACTGTCCCAGATGGCTTGACAAAGCTGGGATTCCCATTTTTTTGTTGTTGTTTTTCCCTCTACATCTTCTCTTAAGTGATCATCTATGCCCCATATATTCTTCTCTCTCAATTTTCTGTTTTTCCCATATGGCATCCCTATGTCTTTGTCTTTTTAAGAAAGATTTTATTTATTTACTTTTAGAGGGGAAGGGAGGGAGAAAGAGAGGGAGAGAAACATCAATGTGAAAGAGAAACACTGATCAGTTGCCACTCACATTCAGCCCATCTGGTGACAGAACCTACAACTCAGGCATGTGCCCTGGCCAGAATTGAAATGGAGACATTCTGCTTTGTGGGACAATGCCCAAACAACTGAGGGATGGGACGTTTTGTCTTTCTTTAGGCTCAATTCCTTTTTAAATCATCTTCCCCTATCAGATGTCAAGCATTAAATATGAATAAATTAGTTTATTATTTAAAAAGAAGAGATTGGGAATTAAGATGTAAACGGGCATCCATGTTAATTTGTGCTGTGTTATCTCTCAGGTTGCTCTAATCTAATATTTTTCTGAGAATTTGCAAGTTTATCACACAGATCTTTTGACGCATTGTGGCAAGTTTAAGAAGAAATTTGTTGCAGTCCAGTATGCAGTTTAGGTGTCAACATTTGGTCATATAAACCTAACTCATTGACATAGATCCCAGAGCTTGTTTTGTATGTAAGGGACCATGTTTGTAGTGGGGTTATTAGAAATTAGAGGAATGGCTCAGAGCTTCCTTCTCTGCATCGTAAGGTGGTGATGTGTGGGGTGAATGGCAACAGCCTAGGAGAGAAGTACCTCTTGACAACAATGATTTTAGTAAGTCTTTGTAATCTTGGAGCCTCACATTTATTCATTTGGAAATTAAGGAAACTAGACAACTAATTAATATTTTTACTCCTTTACAAGTCATCACTAACAATATAGAAGTTTATATGAGGTCAGTCGATCCTGAAGCTTTCTGTCATCCCTGTAATTCAATGAATTCACATGCATTTTTAAAAGAGACAGAGAAGAATCTTACTTTTCAACCATAGAGGGCTCATTCTATCATGAAGACTAAGTGAAAATAATTCTCTGGCAGCTTATGCTGTCAAATAACTCAGAAAGTCATTTGTGAGGATTAAATGACATACTCCACGTAAAATTCTTATTAAATCTTTGGCCTCTTGGTTAAGTGTTAAATAAATGTTCATTATTATTACTTCTACCACTATTATTATTATTGTTCCTTTCTACTTGTAATATTCCCTCTATTCATTTTCTTCCTCACTTCTTAACTTCTAGAAAGAAGTACTGGGGATGGTTAGTAGATTTAATAATTTTAGAGAAATAGCAAGTATATCTAACATCTTCACAAAATGTGACCTAGGCCTTGCTTCTTGTCTTTTCAACAAAGACTTGTCACTTATTCCATTGGAACTCTGGATCTGCTTTTTATGTAAACTATCATTGTTTTAAAATTCTTAGTGTCCTTTCCAGATTCACTAAAGTTTGGAACCGAGTTTTTTTACCTGTGTCTACTATTATGTTTTCTGTTCACTTGCTACAGTACTTTGCTGTGCCTGTGGCTTCTAAAACGAAATGGACTTCTTAGCTTAGGCACAACTTGAAGCAGCAATGGATTTTGGCAGACAATGAATAACATGAACTCTTTTGACATTTTTTTCTTAGTAGCAATGCTTCAAAGAACTTTCATAACGTTGTGGAAGGAATCCAGCATTTGAAGTACATCATCCCTATGACAGAGCAGTAGCATCATTATCCATCTTCACTTTAGTTCTCAGGTTTGGAACCAAGGAAAAGCATAACAACACATTTCTTTTTCAATCCCCAGAAATATCCTCATATTTGGCTTATTATTTAGAAACTATGAAAAAATGCTGGGAAATAATTTTTAAAGAATAAAGGAAGAATTAACCTCTGATCTCTGTGGTCAAAGTTATTTTCAAAATGCTGTTTTATAGTTTTCAGACACAGGGCCAGCTTTTTTTGACATGATGATTGAAAAGCTTATTGATTTTACCATTTCATAATGACACTGTTGAAAGACAAGTTTAATCTGGTTGTCAGGAATACATTATTTGACTTGAATTTAATTTAATTTGGGAAAATGTGAGCTTTTCTTCTCTTTTTAGACCATAATATTCTATTAGAAAATTTCAAGTAGTGGATAATATTTTAGTGATGGACAAAATAACATTAGGACTTTCTTTATAAATTAGCATTATAGAACATAGATATAACTTCATGAAAAA